CTTTTCCCTAGGATATATCATGAAAAACGAAGACCCAGCAAGAATAGTAAAATTACCAGAGTACCCTCGTGCATGTACAAGTACACAATACATGTGGTGATGGTGGGACCATGCTCATGATTTTCCATTTAGTTTCACTTTCCCACCATATATATTCCCAACATTACCTTCCATCTTTTTAAATTGTTTCCCATCACATTCGGTTTCAACTTTTCTTCCACTCTTCTTCACTCCACCACAACATGAATAGAAATGGATTCAGAGAAGAAAAGTCATTCTGCTATTTCCACCCCAAACAGCTCCTTATTGGGGTGTGTCCCTTGTGCTTGAACGAGAGGCTCCTCATAGTGGCTGCAAAACAAGGTCGCCACCACCACAACCGTTCTTCTTCCTCCCACAGCCTTCAAACTTCAAAACCATCTTCTTCTATTCACAAGATCTTTGCTTTCGGTTCTCTCTTCACTCGCCATGAATCCCACCACTGCAAATCTCACAACTATGACTATGATGATGTCTCTCCCAGTCCAGAAGGTAACCTCAATTATCTTACTAATAATTAATACCCACCTAAAGTTTAGTACTTGTAATTATTCTTCATTATAAATAAAGAGGAAAGTTTTCTGCTTGATTAATTGGGTATGGTTAATTATAATTGTTAGTACTAGTGGGGGATATTTTTCCACTTGTAATGTAATGTCCATGGAGGTTGGGGTAGGTGTTGACTGTTGATGAATTGCTTTCATTATTGGTGGAGAATTATCAGTGCATGTTTGCGTGTCTTCATGTGGAAGATTATGTTATGTGATGATGACGAAATTAAGGTCAAAAAGCGTAGCTGCTACGATAATGGTGCTATAAGACAGTAGGAGGTGAAGCTAGCCTTTCGGTTTCTGTGTCATTCTTTTCCTCTTGGCGTGGCATATGCCTGTCAGATGCAAACGCCAAGAGCATTATGACACTGCAAAATTATTTTCCAAGATTTTGCTCTTTGGATTTGATGGGGAATTAGGGTAACATAACTAATCTGGCAAAATGTCATTCATGTTCATGAATTTGATAGCTATATATATGTATTTTTCCCTCTAGTGGAAAAAAAAAATGTGCCAAATACGTTATCAAAACCGTCGGCAGCACAAAAAAAAAAGTATTACCTTAACTTAGTGTAAATATATAATAATAATAATAATAATAATAACATGACATAGATTTGTTTTCTTCTTCGGTGTACCCAAAATTAGAAGTTTGGTTAGGTGAAACTGATGAAGACTACTACACTAGATAGATTAAAGTACAAGCCAAAAAGTAAACAAACCTTATAATAGTAAGTATTAAAGTAATTGGTTCTTTTTTTTTTTTTTCCGCAATGAATTTTCCTTTTCCTTTTCTTGTTTTGTCTTGGTAGCTACGAATGACAATGATATTCTGGAATGACTTTAACTTTGCAGAGTCATTCATCTCAATCAAGTTTGAAGAGAATGGGGTGGCATCGTGGGAAAAGAGCACAGTGTCCCTAGAGAAGTGCAACAAGAAGAAGATGTTGTGGAAGCATGAGAAGGACAAGAGCAGGAGCGTGATAGAGCATGGGAAGTCACGTGACTTGCTTAGGTGGCGGAGGAGGATAGGGCACATGTTCCAGCTCATTCGGTGGAAGAAGGGTGGTGGTGTGTGCCACGTGGGCACCAAGGTGAGAAAGGGTTGGATGAGGACTCTGACAAAGAGGAAAACGACCATGGAATAAAGGAACACCATTTGCATTTGTGCCTTTGGTCCTTACTTTGCAGTGTGCACTGTAAAGTTATATCATATTCATACACATCCTAGAGTCAAACATTAGCTTTGTTACTATCTCAAAAATGTGCTTTAGATTACAACAAAAGAAAAAGGCTAGCTAGTGCTTTGCAATTTGCATGCTTTGGGGCTTTGGGGATGCCTTCTTCTTGTAATTTTTATTTTTTATAGTACAGGCTGTAAAAGGGTTTGTTGAAATTGCTTTGTTTTTTAGATTTATATTATTATATATACTTAATTAAATAAGATGAAGAATTGAGTATTCTCTATACTGGGGCACTGCCAAAACTCCCCATGTTAGATACCCATAGTGTGAAACAAAAACAATGAAGCATAAGGGCCCTATAACATTATGCTACAGGACTTGTCTTATAGTTGTCCTAGGGGGAGAATGTCTTGTTCCCAATTTTCTAAATATACCACTTAATGCCTTTTTAATAAACAAATTAACCTGTAAATTATTTCCTCAATAATCAACAATCCCGGTTATACATATATTATGTTTTTTTTCCCACGCAAGTCGTACTGCATGTGTGCTTGTCCGTTTAGGCCCTTATAATTTGCTTAACGGTGTCCTACACAAAGCCAATTTGTCCCCAAGTGATGGGTGGCATTAGGGGTAGGGACATGGATTTGCCACATCAGGACCACAACATTAGAAGGGTTTGAAGGAAAAAAAAGCTTTATTCGGAGCAGAAGAAAATGACAAGACACAATCGAATCCTCACCCAACTAAAAATCAACAAATGCATCAGATGAGGGAAATGTGGCACCCTTTGGATCATAGGAAATTATATGATTGAAATTATTCTGTAGAATGCAGCACAAACATATATTGCTTTGTGACTACGTTTAGGATATATATACAAGGGCCCGGCGATGTGTCAAATGAGTAGCTTTCTCCTGAGTTAGGCTTAGATACTTGCAACCAAAGAACTAATACATTTCCTTTCAAACAAAGAAATCCAGTTTATGTCTAATTGGTCAACTCAAATGAAAAAGAAGCTTAGAAGAAACTAGAGCTAGCAGTGCATATATACACAATTGACAAATCCACTTAACAATTTTTACACTCACTTTATATGTAGCATGCAAAATTCTTATTGTAAAAATCAATGATAGTTTATGATCAGATTGCAGTTTATACTGTAAGTCAATTAAATTAATTTTTTATTTTATGTATAAAATTTAAGAAAATTATACAGTGTGCCTCTCCAGCCAAAAGGGGTTATATATATGTTCACATCCTCCATATACCATTGAAATTTCACATTTAACTCCTAAGCTTTAATTCTTTTTTATTTCTTGATGGTATATCTGTAAGCATGTGTTTGTATATATATGCTTGAGAGCTGTTGTCTCTTCCTGTGAAGGTCTGCATGTGCACATGTGCTGAATCTGTAAATAATGCATTGCATAAAAAATAAATACCCGAGGAAAGTGCTCAAAGTTCTATCTAATGATAAAGTGAACTCATCCATCACAAATGACAATGTAGAACAGCAACTGATTAACTGTAGCTGCTTTGGCCACACAATTAAGTCTACCATTATAAAGCTCTCTTCCCAGTGATCCTTGGTCGAAATAGTCTTTAATAAGTCACTTTAATTTGTTTGTCAAAACTTGGAAAATAAAAAGTTGTCATATAATGTAACAGAGTGCAACCAACAAACCAAATAGTAAATACTAATATTATAAAGATCAATAATGGCAATTTTGACTCAGGACATGTTAATAGATAGGCCTCTGTTCACAACTCCCACTCTGTCCCTATTGTTATCTATTGGTCTCTTATCCTCTATTGCTTTAACTTCTCACTTTCTTGTCAATTTCATTTCAATGTTGCAACATTAACACACCCCATGTGAAATGGAGCCTCTCCTTTGTTGCCACCTCATTCCATCACCTTTTTTATTTTCAAGATAGAAAAATATTGCTTGCACGTTATTTCTTTTAAATAACAAAATATACAAATCGTCTATTTATCTCGTTTCATTATTGGAAGAACAATAAGATACAAATCGTGTGCAAATAATATTATTATTGGAGCTTTGTTGTGAAACTCGATGCCTTGGAGAGTTCTAGAAAAAACCACTCTTTTACTAGTTAAATTGGAAATCATTTTGGCCAAAAAAGATATTTATTTAAAACACATAATTTTATTTATTTTTACGTTGAATATAAATATAAGATGGCATTGATTATTACGCAAAGAGGCTAAGCATGTACGAGCTTATAGGGCCTTGTACTTGTGATAAGGGTGGTAATTGATAAGAACAGCGTAACTAGAGGATATTAGTGTTGCCAAACACCCCAAACTCCTAGATAATCGGTAGGTTAGATTAGATGAGAAATAACGAGTCTGTAACTAGTTAAGTGAAATTGGGACATCAAAGGAATTCAACGTTTACCGAATATAGCAAGTGTACTAATTGAGGAGTTTTATTGAAAATGAAAATTACAATCTGAATTGAAGTAGTATATGAATGATAAAAAATTATAAATTAGTTGGTGATGATATCATTAACAATAAAAAAAAAAAATTGATGGACCTCATGCATATGCATTAGATTTTTGTTTTTGAATCTTTGTTTTGTCTTAAAAGTTTGTGTTTAGTCCTTATATGTTGCAAATTCCTTAAATAGCATGTTTAACCTAGTTTTATTTTGAATTTTGTGTCTACATTTTGCTCTCGGTTTGTATTCATTGTTGCCTACTTATATGTGCTTTTTCTTTTACCTTATTGTGTTCATAATTTGCTATTAGTCCTAGCAAGTTTCTTTAGAGTTAGGTTTCTATTGTGTACTTAAGTTTTCAAATCACTTTCCATTGAAAATTTTCTAAGACGTTGTATTTAGTTGATTGATAGCATTTGACTACCTAGTTTTTGTATAGGGTATTATTCTCTACTTTCAGTTATATATATTATGGGACTTTTTAGTTGTGTATTCTCATTATATATATAATTGTTTAGTAGTGAGATTTTATTTTATACTTGTATCTGAACACTATAGACAGTGTGAGACCTGGTGGGTCGTTACACTTTTATGGTATCAGAGTCGGTCGAGCCTAGTGGACACTCTGTGGGGGTGATCTCATTAGGCTTCTGTTGTATAGTTCTTTGTGTTGTGTTGATAAGTTGTTGAGTTGTGTGTTGGTTGTCCATTGGAGATGGGTGATAGAAAGTATAAGGTAAATTTGATATAATTGCCTTTAGTCGATATCGACATGATCTTAGGGATGGATTGATTGTCTGTCAATCACATTCTTATAGATTGTGCCAATAGGGAGTTGGTATTTCCTCAGTTACAGGATGAGTTGTTGGTGTGAGCTAGCTAAGTTAAAGTTTTTTTGAAGGATGGAGCAGAGTGTTGTATGTCGTTTATTATTGTGAATGTGGAAAACGAGTAGATTATTGGTGAAATTGAAGTGGTGAGGGAACCTAGGATGTTTGTTGTTAGGTTGCATGTGAGTTTAGAAACTCAATCGATACATGAATTTTGAGAATCCATGGTTGGATTGGAGAAATTGTTCATTTTTGAGTTGTAGAGAGCCTATGCAATGTTTTTCTTTGTTTGCATGTGGTTGGTTTTCCTGATTTTCAGGTTTGGAGCACGCCAGGCACAAGGTGGGTGCTCCGGGCGTGGAGACTCTTATGAGTTTTTGTTCCAAGAATGCCAGGCACGAGCTGAACGCGCCGAACGTGAATGAGTTTTAGGACTCTCGAGTTGGGATTAGGTCGGACGCGCTCAGGCTGTGCTGGACGTGAACATGTTTATTTATGATAGTTGAAATGATGCTTAGGCATGTGTTGAAAGTTGAAGATTTGATCATGATGGTGGATTGACCATGTATGATGTATGATACATTACTACATGTGATGCCTTATGGCATGTGTCTAGCCTAGGACTTGAGGAGAGGGAAAATATTTTTGAACTGGAAGAGCTCACATAGAGTCTCTTGAGAGTGGTGCTTAGATATACCACTGGATTTGGGTGAGAGTGGTGCTCAGGTAGGCCACTAGGTTGGGTGAGTCTCCTCTACTATCTATGTCCCGATGTCACATGTTCTATCAGAGCAAAACCCAACATAGAAGCCTAAGCTTCATCACCAACATCCTCAGCCTCACGCTGATGATCACCTGTATAACAGTCAAAACAAAACAACACGAGAAAAGGGAGTGAGAAACATCTCACTCTGGCCCACAGTGTAGAAATATATGCAGGATAGCCAAACACAAACAAAACAAGTATAACATAAATAAATTAATAATAACATCACACTCATCCAAGATATAAACCATCACTCTCAAAATTCATGTATCGATTGAGTTTCTAAACTCACATGCAACCTAACAACAAACATCCTAGGTTCCCTCACCACTTCAATTTCACCAATAATCTACTCGTTTTCCACATTCACAATAATAAACGACATACAACACTCTGCTCCATCCTTCAAAAAAACTTTAACTTAGCTAGCTCACACCAACAACTCATCCTGTAACTGAGGAAATACCAACTCCCTATTGGCACAATCTATAAGAATGTGATTGACAGACAATCAATCCATCCCTAAGATCATGTCGATATCGACTAAAGGCAATTATATCAAATTTACCTTATACTTTCTATCACCCATCTCCAATGGACAACCAACACACAACTCAACAACTTATCAACACAACACAAAGAACTATACAACAGAAGCCTAATGAGATCACCCCCACAGAGTGTCCACTAGGCTCGACCGACTCTGATACCATAAAAGTGTAACGACCCACCAGGTCTCACACTGTCTATAGTGTTCAGATACAAGTATAAAATAAAATCTCACTACTAAACAATTATATATATAATGAGAATACACAACTAAAAAGTCCCATAATATATATAACTGAAAGTAGAGAATAATACCCTATACAAAAACTAGGTAGTCAAATGCTATCAATCAACTAAATACAACGTCTACCCTCCTCCTGAGTCTCAACCAAAAAGAAGCTCACCCAGTCTAGCAGAGAACCTAATCTTGATCTGCTCACATACCAAGGTATGGTCATTGCAGTCCTAACCACAAGAGAAAACATGCTAGGGTAAGCTCATAACAATAATCATATAAAAATAGCTCCTCTTGGATCTTTTAAGTTGTCACCTCTTGCCTTCCTTAACATGATTCCATCAAAATTAAAAGAGAAGTTAAATTAGAATGTCAAAAATGCTTTGTCACACTTTACATTTAGATATATGGGTATAAAATAAACTTTTTTAAAGG